TGGGAGGGACTTACCCAGGCCAATCAGCTGCAGGGATTGGCTGTGAACACTCACTACCAACCTGTGCCCTCCATGGAGAATCAGCTGTGAAGGTTCAGGGTGGTGGTGCTCTGACGTGCTCTGTAGCTGTCCACTGGGTGAGCAGGCCCTGGGGTTTCCTGGGTGGTGCCAGCCAAGGTCAACTTCCACCTATGTTTTGCCTGGGGCCACCCTGCCTGAGTTATAAAGTTATCTGAGATGGCTGTTACTTGTGCTGGGCTTGGTGATTCCCATGTGAAGTCAAGCTGTGAATCTAGGCTAGCTGCTGCTAATACAGTGCCTGAAGCCACTTAGCAGGAGGTAAGGGAGCTGGGGGCTCACTGAAGCTGGCTGTTGCTTATTTGAAAGGATTTAGTAAGTTGTGAAGCATAAGCCAAGACCAGCCATTCGTATGGAAAAGCCACTTCAGTGTTAACAGTGTTAAATTGGGTGGGACTGGGTCTCTAGGGATCTCCAGGGTGAGGCAGTGTTAGGTTGATGGAGTCCCAGATATGGCACCAGCTTGCCAGCTCTGTGGCTCTGTGGTGGGAAGTTTCAGAAAAGGGACAATAGTTTTTGCCCACCTTTCTGTCCAGGAGAAATCTTGCACCCAGCTCTTGCCTTGATGCCAGCCTCTTCAGTTCTTCCCTTAATGCCACTGGTGCCTTTCAAGCTGCTACCCCATTGCTGGAGCTCAAAGGGAGTAAGTCTGAGTAACTCCATGTGCAGGTTCTTTAAGAGAAACTGCTTGGGACCTCAGAAATTTCTTCCACTGACTCAATCCCTACTGGTTTTTGCAGCTAGAAGTTATGGGAACTTATCTTCCTGACACTGGAACCCTGGTCTGGGGGGCCTGGTATGAGGCTGGCACTCCTCACTCCCAAGATATCCCTTCTGAATTTTTATCCATCACACATGGATGTGGGACCAGCCTGTTCCATATCTCCATCCTTCCTACCAGTCTGGATGGGTGTGGTTTCTTTAATTCCATAGTTGAATTCCATTCGACTCTATTTCTGACAGTTCTGAGTAATGGTTGTTTTATATTTTAGTTGTAACTTTTGATGTGGTTGTGCAAAGAGGTGACCTGTGTTTATCTATGCCGCCATCTTGATCAGAAGTCCTCCAAATCTGTGATCTATTTTGATTTAACTTTTGTGTACGGTATGAAGTGTAGGGTGAAGTTTGAATCTTTGGCCTATGGGTGTCCCCAGAAAAGTTTTACAGAGGAGAAAACAGCTTCAGAGAATCATTCTACCCAGGGTCGCAGAGTAAGGGATTGGAGAGCTGGACTCAAATCCAGTTCTGTGAACTTTTCTTCTGCTCCCTGCTGTGACATTGACATATGGACTGGCTCCCATGAATGGCCAGGCCTGGATAGATTGGGGAGCATCTTGATCAGCCCTCAGGGTGGCATTTCCAGTGGCTAGCTTGGGAAAGCTTCATTCAATTAGTCAGCAAGCCCCAGCAGAGCCTGCCATGCATTAACCTGTGCTGGGCATCACTGTGCCCCAGGCTCCCCTGGGTCCAGGGTTGTAGATAGGGAGGCAGGGCAGACACAGGTCACAAAGTTGTTGGTGCCATGGAGGATGGTACCCTGAAGTTTTGGGGACCCAGACACCCACAGAGTTGACAGGAGTGAGCATGAGCCCCTGGGTTTAGGAAGGAGAAAAGGGTGTTGTAGGAGAAGGGAACAGCACACACAGAGGCCCAGAAGTGGGGGTGAACTTGGTGGGGTCATGTGGCCAAGTGGGCAGAGGGCTGTGAATGGGCAGTTACAGCGGGTGATCCTGACTGCAGGGGATAGAGGGCCACAGCAGGATGTGAGCAAGGAGGAACATGGGCAGATGGGTGGTTTTAGGAGCATCCTCTCCTCTCCTGCCCACAAGGAGAGTGGGTTAGATAAGGCTCAGCAATGAGGTGGTGCAGTTCCCCTGATCACAAAGCCCAGTGGCTGGACTTGGCATTGGCTATAGGGAGGGAAGTCTTGGAGGAAAGGAGATGGGCCCTCAGCTGGATGTGGGTGTGGTGCCAGTGTGGAGCCCAGTGGGGAAGCTCCTAGACCCACACAAGCCCCCTGCCCAGTCCCCGGGCCCTCACTGTCGGGGGACTGTTCACTATGGAGTTGGCACATTCAGGAGATTTTGTTTAAGTGGTAACGCCCTACCTCTGCTGCTGTCATAAAGGACAGGTTGTTCTTTCTTGGAGTTCAGCACAAACACTCAGGTAGGTGACCTGAGCCAGCCATGCTAAGAGGTGGTGCCCACGCCTAGAGCCTGGAATAGGCTGAATAAATGCAGCCAGAACCTCCTGACTCAGGCATTCTGTGCTATTATGTGGCTGTGACTCGTCATCTGTCCCTCCCAGGAGGGTTGGGTCCCCCAGGCATCACAGCCAGCCTATCCAAGCCCAGAACTTGTCAGGAGGGGCTCACCACCCACCCTCTGAATGCTGGATTCTGGTGGCTCCGGAATCCTGCCATAGGGCCCTGAGCTTGGACTTTGTTCTGGTTGTGTGTCCAGACAAGTTATGCCCTTTGTGTTCCTGAGTTCTCTCATTTGCACAGCAGGTGGGGGTGAAGGTGGTAGGGGAGGGAAGCTGGATTCAACAGTGCCTGAACTCCTTCAGGGATCTTTTTGGGATTTTGTCCCCCTCTCTTTCTTTCCTCCTCTGCCTTTCCTCCTTCCTCACACATTCATTCATTCATTCACAAATGTTCACAGAACATCTCCTCTGGGCCCAGATCCAAACTAGGTGATACCTGGGAGTGGGAAATGATTCAAACCCATTGTCTACCCTTGGGTAGCTCCCAGTCTGGCAGGGAAGGTAAAATGTGCAAGCAAACAGTTATGATTCAACCCTTGGCCTCAGAGCCCTTAGGAGAAAGCTACTCTGCCCAGGTGGGCAATGTGGGGGTGGGGTGGGGAGAAAGTCAGGGAATCCTCAGGTGACAAGCCCTCTGCAATAGGCCAGGAAGCAGGAAGTGAACATGGGTAGAGATGGAGCATCTGGAGGAGGAGGCATCTGCAAAAACTTGGAGGAACCCAAGTGCTGGGTATGTGTGAGTAAACACTAACAGGTCAGGGTGGCTGGAGCACAGGTGCCAGATGGGAGGACCCGGGACCAGTTGTTAAGAGCCTCAAATGCTTAGAAAGGATTTTTTCCCCAGGGAGCCATGGGCTCCAGGGATGGGGGGGTGGGGTCCTGAGAAGTAAGTGGTAGGAACAAAGCTGTGATTTTGAAAGGATGGAGAGGATGGGCGGGACGCAGTGAGGAGCTGCGCCTGAGGATTGGGGGGAGGAGATGATCCCTGGTGGCACAGAGTGAAGTAGGTGGGGTGAAGGCAGGAGAATAAGTTGAGGGGCTGGGGGGAGGTTGAGGGAGGGAGGGGGAGGATAGGGGACCATCACTGGGACAGGCAGGGGAAAGGGATGAATCTGATTGGACAAACTGAGTGGGAAGCGCCTGGTGGAGCAGGGAGCAGGGAGCAGGTGTCCTGGGACACTGGCAGGCTCCAGAGGCAGAAGAGGCTGGCTGGGGTGGAGGGCCATGGGGTAGGGGTGACATTGCTCCAGCCCTTCTGACCTAGAGGAAGGGATCTGACACATACCCCGCCCCTGTGGGTTGGGCATCTAAGGAAGGGCCTTTCAGCAGGGGCATTTGGAGGGGGCGGTGCTCAACCCAAGAGTGCCCTGTCTGCACAGGGAAGCCCGAGGCATGGACACCTCAAGGCTGCTGCGTGGAGACTTTACCCCCTACTCGCCCACCCCCGAATGGGCCTCTGTGGCCCAGCAGCTCCATGCCCACCCCTTCTGGTCACCACTGGGTCAGCATCTGTCTCTGAGCTTTCCTTTAACTAAAATCCCAGGGGACAGGAGCCACAGGCGCTTAAACAGTGTTTTCTGGGGAACAAGTGAGATTAGGTGGTGCTGCTTGTCACCTACACTGTGCTTGTGAGCCAGGCAGAGACAAACCGCAACTGCTATGGGTGGTGGAGGAGCAGACCCCCGCCCAGCACCGCCCCCCACCCCCACCCTCACTCCTGTCCGGGGCCTGTTGGCAGCCCTGGGCAGTGCTGAGGTTTCTGCCGCACACCCTGCTCCAGCGGCTTGCTAGGGAGGCCAGGACCTAGGGTTCAGTCTGGGTTTGGGCGGAGGCCCAGGACGTTCATTAATTCCTCCGCTCACATGCCAACTGAGCTATGTGGCTGTTCCAGCTGCTGGAGGGATGGCCACAACACATCCAAGTCACCTGGACTCCTTCCTGGACTCCTGCCATGGGGAAGAGGCAAGAAACAAATATGCCCAAGTCATCCAGGGGAGGGGAAGAGAAGTGGGAGAGGAGATGGGAGATGGGCCGGGGAGCAGAGAGGGGCGACTTGGGCAGGAGGGGCCTGTCCCTGGGGAAGGCCTGGGAGAACCACTTCAGCCGGGGGCTGGTGAGGTCCCAGCTGACAGGAAGGCTGGTGCAGGAAGGGCAAGAAGGCCAACGGGCGGCACCTGGTGAGAGGGCGGCAAGGAAGCAGGGGAGCACTGAGCACCGGGCGGGAGGCAGGATGATGGAGGGTCTTGTGAAGTGTTGAGAGGCTGAGCCCATGGGCAACTTTGGGTGGGCTGACAGGGTCATCTGGAAGCTCCTGGAGGCAGCTCAGGGTGAGGGTTGGGGAAGTGCTGCTGCCCTGAAGCTCTGACCTGAGGGTGGGGCGGGGGAGGGGGGTTGCCTCTCTCGCCACCACTTGCCCTTTTGGGGCCCTGGGGGTAGGGGGCAGCAGAGAGACTAGCCAGGGACTTAGCAGCCAGAAGAATTCTCAGAGGCCAGCCCCCTTTTTGTAACCCAGACAAGGAAACTGAGGTGCAGGCCGAAGCTGGTCAGAGGCAGTGAAAATGTGTCTCCGGTCTCGCCGTCCGCTCCTACCCAGATGTTGGTGCCTGAAGGGGCAGTGCTGGGGCAGCTGTGGGACTCTGGGCATCTCTCTCACACAGATGACGTGGGCTGTGTCGTGCCCTCCGAGTGCCTGCGGGCCTGCGGGGCCGAGATTGGCTGCTCCAACATCGCCTATCCCAAGCTGGTCATGGAACTGATGCCCATCGGTGAGGCTCTGGTGGGGTCTGGCTGGGGGGACTGGCGTGCGGGTCTGTGGGGCCGTTCTGGATCCAGCGTGATGCTGTGAGACACCCAGGTAGGGAAGAAATAGAAAGCACGTGGCGCTCACCACATGCCAGGCACTGTTTCAAGGCCTTCACGTGGGAGTGCCCTGCCTCTTCCTTTCAGGGGCCCTCTGTGCCATTATCATCCCCAGTTTAGAGACGGGGAAACTGAGACCCAGAGAGGTTAAATGAGTTGGCCAAGGTCAAATGGCAAGTGAGCTGCAAAGCTGGGATTTGAACCTGGATGATCTGCCTCCAGAGCCTGCCCCCTTAAGCCAATTTCTCTTCCTCAGGCCTGCTGAGTGACAAGCCCTTTTACAAACTGCTTCTCTTCTTCTTTTCTTTCTTTCTTTATTCTTTAACCTCAACTGAGGACATGTTTCCATTGATTTTTAGAGAGAGAGGAATGGAGAGAGAGAGACAGAAACATTGATAGGTTGCCTCCCATATGCAACCCAGTCAGGAATTGAACCCACAACCTAGGCAGGTTACCTGACTGGGAATTGAACCTGCACCATTTTGGTATAGGGGCCAATGCTACAAGCAACTGGGCCATGCCGCCAGGGCATTCAATCTGCTTCACTCCTTTAAGGCAGAATTGCTGGCTGTGTCTTATGGACTGGGGACTGGGGCCCGAGGTGGGGAGTGCTTATCCAAGACTGCTGAATGGTTGCGACTCTGCCTGCAGGCTGAAATGTCGGGGCAGGTTGCAGCCTTTTCCGTGTCTCTTGGCACAGCAGTGGTCCGCCCAGGGTGATGTGGGGCAATGAAGGTCTAGTCACAGCAGGGGTGCAACAGGGCCACAGCAAGGATGTGGGAGGCCCTGCTTCAGCTAACAGGGGAGACAGCTTCCCTGGAAGGGGAGACAGCCCAGTTCACTTCCGGATTCTCAGACCCTTCGCGTCCACTGCCCCTGGCCTTCCCTGTGGAAGGTCCCTGGCCCACCCTGCTCTGCCCTCCCCCCGGGGGATGTTAGTGCACAGTCCTGGGATCAGATTGTGGCTCTGTCACTTGTTGGCTGAGAGATTTGGGGCATGTCACTTCCCTGCTCAGAGCTTCAGTGTCCTTATTCGTAAATTGGAGATAATGACACCTACCCACCCCTCAGAACTGTTGCTGGGATTAAACTAACAATTTAGGAAAACTGCCTGGTGCAAGTCTTGGCTGCATTGGGTTTCCACCCCTGGGCCTTGCCTTCTCCTCCTGTTCTTGGGGGCTTCCTAAGCCCCCCAGCACTGACATCCAGCTGTTCTTGGGCCACAACCCCCACCCCCATCTCAGCCCTTGAGCTCCTGGTCTGACAAATGGGTGGAGAATAAGCCCTGAGTTAATCCCCTTGCCTAAGCAAGAAAAGGAGGGTGGAGAAATGTTTTCTTGGGAAAATACTTTCTTGAATTCACTTTGCTTTGGGTGCCATCCCAGTCAGGCTGACATGTGAACAGTGAGTACCATGGTGTGCCTAGAGGTCACGCAGCTGGTTAGGTGCAGAACCTGGGCCCAGCAGCCCCACCAGGCAACACATGGCACCTGCAAGGCTAAGCCCTCTGGAAGGGCCCTGTCAGATTTATCCTAAGGCTGGGGGTGGAGGCAGGCAGACAGGGAATCTGTGGTAGTGGTGGGGGGGCATTTAGACACAGGAAGGAAAAGTGCAAGAAACCTTGGGGACAGAGTTGATCCGAGGCCTGTGAGGGGTGGTGAGCAGCCTGAGGCCGCCCAGCACGAAGCCTTCCCCATCCTCAGCCCTTCTCCAGCTGGGGACCCCTGGGAGCCTGTACACAGCAGCACCTCACCCACCTTGAGGGGGACCCCTCACTCATTTTCAACCTATTGGCAGATGTATTTTTCTATATCCTGTGGGAACCACATCTCCTCTTCCACAGAGCCCAGAAGAAAGGGAGTCCCCTGAGCCTGCCAGGCCTGCCGCACACAGGAAGACCTCCAAGGCTGGGTCACTGTACCCTGCCCAGGGTGTAAGCAGTAAGCTGGGGGTCACACCCCAAGCCTTCCTCACTCCTCCACCAGCCCTGGAGCTCTGCTTCCGGCCTGTTGTGGGTCTCTGGACACCTGTCTTCCCCTCTCCAAACTTTTACTTTTTCATCTGTCATACGTTAATAATCTTTCCGTCAAATGAAGTCACGGGTGTGAAAGTGCTTTGTCAACTGCAAAGCTCTTTAGAAATGAGAGGCAGATAATAGCACCAACCACAATAGAAGCGAAACCAGAAAAGTCAGCGTCACTGGTGCCCGTCACTACTAGAAACAGTCAGCAGAGACCAGGATTCAGTCTTTGCAGGCACTTGATTCAGATGCTGGCAGTCAGGGAAGATGGCACATTATGGACCCTCAAAAACTGTCTGAACATCTCATCTCAAGCTGACATTTTTATAAGGAGAAGAAAGGGTAGGTAAGGGGCTTCAGGGAAAGGTTAACAGGATAAGAGTTGCAGTGTCCCTATGATTTTCCTGGAACTTCTTTATCTGTTAATCGACCATTCTCCATCTGCGTCACAGACTTCCCTCCCGGGAACACAAAAGCTCAGGTACTGGCTGGCAGACCCCCTGGGGCACAAGGTCGAATTGCTGTGACCTCCTGGAGTCACATGGTTGTGCCTTCCAGTTTCTGGAACAACAGCGTTCCACAGCATTAGTCACTTAACTCTAGCAACTAAGACTAAAATCTTTAACTCTTGAGTTACAGCTTTAATCACTTAGGCTTATCAACTATGACTGAAGCCAAAATCTCTAACTCTGAAGTTCCCCTATCATTCCCCTGTTCGTTTTTAATTATCTTATTTCTATAAGCTTAGTTTAATTAAAGAAATTAGTTTAATTAAACAAACTAAAACAACATAAAAGCAGATAAGATTCTCTAAAGGTCATTTGGCTATTGAATAAAGTCCTCCACATTTAGACACCATCTTGCCAGCAATTTCCTCTAAAAGAGTTTTAGTACAGTTAACTGAAGTGGGACTTTTTCCAGCTGCGGCTACGTTAGAATTTTTAAAGAAAACAGTTCTCTGTCCTTTAGAGTGACCATAGGTCCCCAATTATCTTTCCGGGGGAGTACAAACACCTACAAGACATGAAAAGAACATTTGTTCAACATAGGTTTCAGCCCACTTTCTTTCTAGTTGGCTCCCTGGGGGACCCTGTCCAGGTCTAGAGTAGTAGCACCTTATCTCCAGGCTCAAAGGAATGTATTGAGCCTGTGGGGGAGAGATCTCCAATAGAGCTAAGGTCATGAATCACAGCTAAAGTCTGACTTAAACCTCGTGTATAGTGCTTTACCTTCAGTTCTTGACCTATACACATATCTCCCACCCTAATCATAGCCCGGAAAGGTCGCCCATACAGAATTTCACGAGGACTCAATTCCATTTTGAGGAGCCACCCTTATCCTGAGCAGGGCAACAGGTAAAACTTGATCCCATTGGAGATGAGTTTCTTGACACAGTTTGGCTATGTTTTTCTTCAGGGTGTGATTCATCTTTACCTTCCCAGAAGCCTGAGGTCTTCATTCCATGTGGAGTCTCCCTTGATTTCTAAAAAATTTACTAATGTTCTGTGTAATTTCTGAAATGAAAGCAACTCCACTACCACTCTGGATGTTGCTTGGGTAAGCCAAAGCGAGGAATTATTTCCCTCAGGAAGGCTTTCACTACCTCTGAGGAATTCTCAGTTCTAGTAGGATAAGCCTGTGCCCACCCTGAAAATGTATCAAGAAAGATTAACAGATGTTTCCATCCTCAGGCCCTTGGTGTCTGAGTAAAGTCTATTGGCCAGTCCTTAAACGGGCACTGTCCTTGGTATTGCTTCCCCTCTTCTTTCTGATGGGGATCTGTCTTAGGATTGTTCTTCTGGCACACGAGGCTCTGGGAATTCCAGGACCTGTGAGCCATGGTTTAATGTAGGTGGTTCAAAACCCCAGCTCTCAGCTTTCCCTAAGTCTGCAGTGGAATATTCAGGGTTGAATTGTGACAAGTCTAGAACAGATATGAAAGGCATAGAAACGTCCCTTTAGCAGCCTCTTTCGTTGTTCAATCAGCCAGATTGTTTCCTCCAGCCACTTAGGTGTCCTCTTTCTGATGCCCTAGGCAGTGCATAACTGCCACCTGTAAAGGTACCTGAGCAGCCTCTAATAATTAAAATTTCTGTTACATGTTTAATTTCCTTGTTATTGGAAGTTCATAGTCCTCTTTCCTTCCAGATACACATTCACTGTCTTTTAAATCAATTCTGCTAGAATAAGCATCATCAATGATTTCAGTGCAGCCATGCATTAGCACAACTGAGTCAGGCTGCAGGAGAAGGGAGGCAGTCAGTAACTTCCAGTTTTGAATTGCTTGGTACCTGCCCATTCTTCCAGTAGTGAGCCACAAATTTCCTTGTGCTCCAGCAGGCCCTGGCACTTGGTGGGGGTGCATAAATAGTGATAGGCTGTTGCAAGGAAAACTTTTCAGCTTGCTGTAAAAGCTCACAGATGGCTGCCACAGCTCTCTAACAGGCTGGCTACCCCTGGACAGTGTGTTCTAGTTTCTTTGACAAGTCCAGTAAGACTCCTTTTGCCAATGTCAAGCACGAACCCAAGATACCTTATTGCTTGTTGACAATTCTGGGCCTTCTGTGCTGATACTTTATAGCCACAAATGGTTCATGCATGTTTGTATTAGAGTTCCTCCTTCTAGTTTTAGATTTTTCAAGTACTGGCTCACGGTCTCCCCAAAATCACTGGGGAGTTCTTGAAACCTTGTGGCAAGACTGTCCCGCAGTACTGAGTCTTGACCCGAGACTCTGGGTCCTGCCATTTAAAAACAAGCAACAGTTGAGAGTCTTGGTCAACCGGAATGCAAAAGAAAGCATCTGTCCAGTCCAATACTGAATACCAGTGGCTATGCCCAGGTATACCACTCTGTATGATGCCATTTATGGCCCTTAAATCTTGTACAGGGAGCAACAGTGCCAAATGAGTCTGTATTCCTGACATTTCTGAATTATTGGGCACCTTCCTTCTAGGGGTCCCTGCCCCTGGTTTGAGGTCAGCTTTTACAGGGAGGCTTGCTTAGCCCTCCCCGGCCTTCCAGCAGTCCACACAATGGGGTTTACCTGATTCTCAATTTCTTCTAGCCAGAGTTGCTTTCCTCCTCCTTCCTGTGGTTACATAAGGAACTGCTGGGCATGCTCTGGAGGGACCTTAGGTGGAGCTGTTGTTATTCTGGAAAGAAAGTGATTTGAGCACAGAGTTTTGATAACAAATCTCTTCCTGGAAGAGGAAAACTGTATCTCCCACAGCACATTCTAATGGCCTCAAGAGAAATTGGTGTTCAGCCCTGGCTGGTGTGGCTCAGTGGATTGAGTGCTGGCCTGCAAAGGGTCGCTGGTTCAATTCCCCATCAGGGCACATGCCTGGGTTGCAGGGCAGGTCCCCGGTAGGGGGCACACGAGAGGCAGTCACACATGGATATTTCTCTCCCTCTCTATCTCTCTCTTCCCCTCTCTAAAAAATAAATAAAATTAAATCTTACAAAGAAAAAAAAATGCATTCAGGGCTTCCAGAAATCCCAGTTACAGTTTAGTGAGAAACCTATTGACCACAGAATATGTTGTTCTGGTATCAATGAAGGAGGTCTACTATTTGTTCCCCCCACCATTAGTTTTTCAAGTTCTCAGACTCTGACCTCCTCTTCCCTCACTTGGGACTCTCATTTTTCCAGTGTCCTTGTCCCTTGCAGTATGATTGCCCTGCCCTGGTAGGGGGCTTGTCCTGCACTGAATTTGGTTCCCTGGCAGGTTTGGGACAGAGAGACCAGTTCAGGCTCACCTCCTCTGGCTCCGTCAGGAGGCAGAGTAAGGAGGAAGATCCCCCCCCAGGGCTGGAGGGACAGTGGGGCCTCTGACCATGCTTGCAGCAGCCAAATGTCCTGATCTCCCTGGTTCCTCTTCTGAGCTTCTACTCTCTGTCACAGGCAAAGTCCCTTTTCTCTGGATCATTTCCCATTTCCCATTCTTTAACAAAACAACTCTAATTGCACTATAGTATAGTAATTTAAAGACCTTTCCAGTGACCAGCATTGTCCCGAGTTCAGATTATACATAAGCCAAACAGTACTACTACAAAAATCTGTTTTCTTAGGTTCATAAGCATAGGCTGACAAATCAGCCAGAATTTGCCCCTAAGGGCTATTTCCCAGAATGGGGGCTCCACCCCCATTCTACCAGACAGCTGTATATTCTCACACAAACCAGAAGGCACCTTTTTACCAGACAGAGCTCTGTAATATCTAAGTCATCACACAAACCAGTAGACACCTTAGTTAACCCAGGACTGCAATCCTTAGCCAGGAAGTGCAGTGATTCAATCGAAGTGAAGGTGATGGGGAGTGCCATGAATGGGAGAAGAAGAGTTCCCCAGTTGGCAGCTGCTAGGGAGTCTCCAAATCCATACCCCAGGGCCCCCCAGTACAGGCAGCCAATGGGACCCTCCACCAAATACCCAGACTTACTGACGAGTCCTGAAGGTGTCCCATCTGGGTTTCCAGAATATAAAACTAGATAAGCCAGCATTCATGCTGCCTGTCACTACCAGAACCAATAAGCAGAGATAGGGATGGAATCTTTATGGACGATTTATTCAGATGCTGGTGATCTGAGAAGATGGAGGGTTATGTACCCTCAAAAACCATCTTAATATCTCATCTCAAGCTGACCTTTTTATAAGAAGAAAGGGTAGGTAATGGATTTGGAAGAAAGGTTAACTGGGTAAGAGTTGCAGTCTGGTGACAATTTTCCTAGTACTTCTTTATCTGTTGTAATTTTGATGTTGTTGTGTGATGAGGTGAGCTGTGTTTACCTACACCTCCATCTTGATCGGAAGTCTGCTTCTTTATCTGTTCATCAACAACTTTTAATCTGCATCGCAGACGTTTCCTCCCTGGAACACAATGACTCAGATACCATATCCATCCCTCCTGGGGTGGAATTGCTTGTGGACTTCCTGGAGTCACGTGGTAATGTATTATAGTTCCTGGAATAACAGCTTTACACATGCATTACTCAATTAAGCCTATCAACTATGACTGAAGCTAAAATCTTTAACTCTTGAGTCCCCTATGAGAAGCAGTTACAGTGGTGACTATTATTGCCAGCAAGCCACAGGCTTAAGAAGCACATTCAGAAGTTCTCAGTTTGTCCTTGGCCTCCCCAGCCTCCTGATTTTGGGTCTTTGTTCCACCACCTCAAACAGCTCAGCCTCCTCCCACCTGGATGTGTGCTGGTGGGACTTGTGGGTGGAGGCTCAGCTATGCGGTGCTGATGGTGGACCCTACACAGTAGGACAGAGACAGGAGGGGCTCCTGGGGTCTGGGGAGGCCAGGCAGGGTCCAGGCAGCCCCCGTCTCTAACCCACAGGTCTGCGGGGACTGATGGTCGCAGTGATGATGGCGGCGCTCATGTCGTCGTTGACCTCCATCTTCAACAGCAGCAGCACACTCTTCACCATGGACATCTGGAGGCGGGTGCGGCCCCAGGCAGGCGAGCGGGAGCTGCTACTGGTGGGACGGTACGCTGGGTGGGTGCTGGCACCAGGAGGGGCTAAGAGGTGGGTTTCCCAGACACATGACCAGCCTGTGGGTCCTGGGCCCCACCAGAGGTGGACTTTAAGAGATGAACAAGAGGATGCTGGGGAGGAGAGAGGAGGCCAGAATATCTCATCCATCCCACCTCCCACACTGCTCCTCTGGCTACCCCTTCACAGCCCCAGACCTCTACTTGGATGTATCTCTCACCTGGAGCACAGCTTCTGAGAGAGGGTTCCCTCCCCTGACCATCCCAGTGATCTTTCTTCTTCCCCAAACCTGAGCCCTGAGCCCTACTGATGATCCCCATCTGCTTCAGAGAGGGCCCCAAGCCAGAACTCAGGAATGACCACACTCAGGCCCCTGTACCCATGGCCCCACTGAGCTTCTGTCCATTTCCTGCTAGGCCTGCTTGTCGCTGTTTATTACCTCCATGACTCACTCCAAGAGTCCCCTTTTCAGTCCTGCCTGATACTACTGACCAAGGAATGAGCCCCTCTCCCTCCATACCTCTCACAGGGGACTATTGCCAGGTTCTTTCACAGCACTTGTGGCCCCTTAATAGGTCCAACATCTTCCCTGTGCCCCACCCCACCACAGGAGCAGGCAGGGGCTGTGTCTGGCACAGCTCTGACACCACGCTTGGTCAGGTACCGGGAGTCCTTTGGGGTGAACTCAGCAATGGTTGATGAGGAGCTGGTCTCTGAGTGTGTGCATGTGTCTGACTGGGCCCTCTCCTGGGACCCTCCTCTCCTGTCTCCCACTGAGCCACGTGGCCCCTCCTCTGCTAGTCGAGGGGCTCAGCCTTACAGGGCATAGCTTGGCCGACAGTGCACCCTCCTCCCGGGGGCCCACAGCACCCCTTGGTGGGGATCTCCCGCAGAGCTACAGGCAGTGTTCCCGTGATGCAAAGCAGCCCGCTTCTGTCAGAAGGGCCCTGCTGGGACACGCCTTCAGTGGGCAAGTGTGATCTCATCTACAGCCTCCAAAACAAGGAACCTCCCTCCTACCTGGCAGGAGGTGTCAGCCTCAGCGTCAGCACCCTCCCAGGACCACCCCTCCCCAGCCTGTGGCTCCCTGCCTTTGCGGCTCCTTCCTGGAGCCCATCCCTACTGACAGGCTTCTCCCAAAGCCATTCCATGCTCAGCAGTCCTGTAAATTGGGACCAGCCCGCTTTCCTGTTGCCCAGGGTGCACCCACCCCACCCTCCTTCCACCCTGCCATCCTCCTCCTGGCACAAGCCTGTGTGGACCAAGGGCTCCCCCTCTCTGAGTCCCACTTCTCTCATCTGCCAGTTTGGCAGAGTGGGGAGGGTGCAATGCCAGGGTTCAGCTCTCCCACACCTCCTTCCTAAAGCACTGGGGCACCCCTAACCCCTCCAGCCAGCCTCCTCTTGCCTAAGACAACCCGGTTCAAGCTGTGTTTCCCTGGCCATGTGGGGTCTGGGGTCTGCAGAACTGCAGTTCAAGGTCTGGGACTTAGAAAGGGGCAGCAGGCCCCCCTCACCAGAAGCCTGGCAGGGACATGCTGGGGACCCCACAGTCTCATCAGGTTGGGGTGGTGGCCAGAGGAGGTGTCACAGTGACAACTCTACCTCTAGGGCCCTGGCTGTTGCCAGCCCCAGGCCCACTCCCCACCCTTCTGCTCCTTTGTGTTCCTCCCCCGCCACCCCTTCTGTCTTCCATTCTCTGTGATTCTAGAAGAATGCCCAAGGCCTCCCTCGTTCCCGGCTTTGAGATGGGCAATAGGGGTATCCACTCCTAACCCTAACCCACCCTGATCTCAGGCCTGAGAGGCTCTCTGCAACTGGGCTGGGGGTGGGGGGAGTGACCTGAGGGGGCAGTCATCCAGTCAGCAGTACGGTGGGGGGCGGGGTTTGGGAAGGCCTTGAGCTGGGCCTTGGGAGGTGAGGGGGTTTGCTGGGGGAGGAGTTGAGAAGGGCCTTCCAGGCAGAAGGAAAAGCCTCCAGGTGTGGGGTCCCTCTGGCAGCCAGGTGTGACGTAGTCCAAACAAGAAACCCTCCAGGGCAGCAAGAGGACAAGGGCCCTCCGCCAGGCTGGGCTGGGGAGGCCGAGGACCGGCACAGAGATGCTGAGTCTGGCTGGACCCGGGGAGCTTGTATGAGGAGGGCAGGGTGGGACAGGTGCTCAGGGAGGATGCCTGTGCCTTTGAAGAGGGCAGTGCCCGTGCCTGCCAGACAAAGGGTTAATTGGCTTTAATCAAAGTGGCACCTCCTGCCTCCACCCTCTCCCTGAAGCCTGGGAAGGGAAGAGGGAGGGAGGCAGGAAGGAGTGAAATCGGAGGGCAGCAGAGTCTGAGGCTCTCGCTGCGCCAGAGAGCAGAGACAGGGATTGGGTTATAATTGCGCTTTTGTTAATCTCAGAGGACAGCAGGCTGAGAAGGGGGCAGGTGAAAACCCTAACACCCACCTTCCCCTCATGCTCTCAGCAGCAAGTTTATACAGAGGAAATGCAGGGATTTGAGAGGGGGAATTCCCAGGGAGAGCACTGTGGGTGGGGGGCCGGTAGGAGGGTGGTGGTGATGGTTGGGGTTGAAAGGGGAGTCAGGCAGCCTCTTCCCAAGTTCGCTCCCTTTGCTCCAGCATCCTCTCCGTTAGCTCAGCATTCCTCTCTCCTGGGGTCCCTGTGGTTCGTGGCCAGGGAGGCTGTGTGTTCTCTGGTCAGGGAGGAGCAGTATAAACCACTTGCTCTCAAGCGTCCTTGGTCAGGGAGGGTAAGGTCTTACGATTCATCAGTTGGCTGTAAGTTGCTCGAACTGTTGAACCTTGTTTAATTTTCTTGTCTCAGCTTCCCCATTCCACTCGCCCAGGAACTTTCCTAACTTCTTACTGTCCTACCTCAGGAGAACCCACCCTCAGCTGCATACACAGCCTGGTGCACCCCTGCTCTCCCACTCAGGGTTCCATGGGGTCTCGTCCACCACCCACTTTAGGGATGAGAGGCACCCAACTTACACAGGGGGGTGGGGTGCTCAGCCAGGGAGGATAGATGGAACATTTCACCCAAGCTCTGTCCCTTTAGCTGAGTTGCCTGACCCTTCAAGGCTCCAGGGCCCACTCCTTCCAGAAGCCCTCCTGGATTGGTGCTTCCTCTGGGCTCCCACATCCCAGCCCTGACCATAGGGTGACAGGCTCCTCACTGACCGAGGCCCGCTCTTCACCGACACTGGGCTTCTAGCACAGTGCCCTGTCGTCAGGTGGGCTCGTGTTGAACAGTTAGGGGAATGAACACAGGAAGCATGTCTCTGCTGTGGAGGGCCCTTACCCAGAGGGAGGCAGGGTGGGGAGGGGAAGGGGCTGCTGGAGGTCTCATGGAAGGGTTTGGAAGGGCAGGACTGGCCTCCCATGGGAGGAGTGGGCCGTGGGCCATGGGGGAGGCTGGAGCTGTGCGGCAGGGCACAGATGGGGAACAGGCGTTGGTGAGCAGGGGCGGGGAGGGTAGGGGAGGGAAGAGTCTGCTGCTGAGCCCCTCACGACCTGTCCACAGGCTGGTCATTGTGGTGCTCATCGGCGTTAGCCTGGCCTGGATCCCCATCCTGCAGGGCTCCAACGGTGGGCAGCTCTTCATCTACATGCAGTCAGTGACCAGCTCCCTGGCCCCCCCAGTGACTGCGGTCTTCACCTTGGGCATCTTCTGGCGGCGTGCCAATGAGCAGGTGGGATGGGAGAAGAGCTGGGGAGAAGGGCGGAGGTGGGGTCGAGGCCCAGCCATGGTGTGCATGTGTGTGTGGGGGGGACCTCCGCCTTCCTCCCATGGCCCGGCTGCCCTGACCCCTTCCCCCAGGGGGCCTTCTGGGGCCTGATGGCAGGGCTGGCAGTGGGTGCCACAAGGCTGGTGCTGGAATTCCTCTACCCGGCTCCGCCCTGTGGTGTGGCCGACGTGCGGCCTGCCATCCTTCGAAGTTTCCACTACCTGCACTTTGCCATCGTCCTCTTCGCCCTCAGTGGAGCCGTGGTGGTGGTTGGGAGCCTGCTGACACCACCACCCCAGGGAGCTCAGGTAAGCCTGCCCTGACCCTGGATACATGACCCTTAACGTGTTCTGACTCAGGTCCCATTCTGGCTCCTGACCCTCCGACTCAAGAATTTTCTAGCTCTTGACCTCACCCCTGTCTGGCCCTGGCCCTGGCCCCTGGGCTGAGTTTTGTACTCAGTTGCCCTTTTTCATCCCTGACCCCTGATCTTGTCCGGGCCCACCCCAACTCCTACCCCGCCCCAGTCCTGCCACACCCCCATCAGTGTGCATTCCCTGCAGATCCAGAACCTCACCTGGTGGACTCTAGCTCCGGACCAGCTCCCGGGAGTCAAAGCAGGTATGCATGTGACCCCAGGCACTCCCTCTCACTCCCAGTCCTGGGACTGGGGCTTGGAAAAAACATGGCACTGGATGCAGCCCTGTGACCCCGGCCTGTTCCTCTCCCACCCCCTCCAGGTGATGCCCAGAAACATGCTTTCTGGACCCGTGTCTGTGGCTTTAACGCCATCCTTCTCATGTGCGTCAACATCTTTTTCTATGCTTACTTTGCCTGACCGAGGTCCGGGTGGGAAGGTGGGAGTGCTCGGGGCCCTGGGCCCCCTCCCTAATGAGGACACCAAGGCCACAGAGGGTGAATCCCTCACGTCTGCATGGCAGCCAGGTCAGTGCCAGGGACTGGCCCTGCCAGCAAAGCAGAACCCTGAAAAATCAGGGAGGGAATGGGAGAAAAGAATGTGACACTTCAAAAGTGGTAGTCGTAAGTGGAAAGAAAATTAGATTTCTGATGGATGTCCTCAAACCATCTGGCTGTTTTATTTGGAGTGCGCGATCCAGGTCAGGAGCAGTGTAACCTGCCAGGGCTCAGGGCTCCCAGGGTCTCAGGCCACCCCTGGGTGGGGAGAACCCCCAACGCAGGCTCGCAGACACCTCCCTGGACCCCCTACCCCATCTGCTCTGCTGCCGCAGGAGCCTCCTCTCCCTCCCCTGCTCACTGCCCCTGTGTCCCAGCCCAGCATTCAAGGCGGTTTCCAGGCTCCCCTCACTCTGCCTGCTCCCAGAGGTGCTCCGCTCTGGGCAGGCGTTGCTTAGTAACCCCCTCCCTGCTGGGAGCATAGTGGATGTAGACACCCTGTCTTTTCTCAAGCTGGGGACTCACCCAGACTGCCCACCCTATTCTAGGGGCTGCTGGACTTCAGACTCCAGCTCAGCCCCTACTTCCCACTGGGTCTGCAGTCCCCAAACTGCCCGGAGTCTGGGCAAAACCTGGGCCTGAACTGAGCCTCTCAGGCGGCTGCGTCCAGGGCTTGCCCTCAGCGCTCATCCATTCTGAGAGGAGCAGCTGCCTCCATTTCTCTGTCCACTGCCGCCTCTTCCTCAGGGCCTCCAGCCCTCCCCAAAGTGTCTGCAGTGGGTGGGGCCTTGGATGCCCCGGTACAACCTAGAGTTGTCATGGAGCTGTGGAAAAGTCAGTGTCCACCTGGAGCCTGTCCACTGAGTCCAGGCCAACAAGTACTCAGCACCCTCTCCTGTCTCTTACATCCAAGCAGCACTTGGATGTCCCCAAGTGTCCCCTAGTAGCAGCACTTCAAGGGTCCTTTTGAGGGAGGGTCAGGCAGGCCCAGTGACTGGTCGGTCCAAGGTGAACACACACAAGCCTTGGGTCAAACCCCTAATGTGAGGAAGCTGGGAGCCCTCAACCATCTCTGAGGATAGGGCCATTGAAGGTTGGAGTGGGCAGGGCCTCGGCCAGGCCACCCTATTATGTCACAAAGCTGGTGACCACTGGAAACTTTGGGAGCTCCCCTGGCCTGGTGGGCACTGAACGCCATGTGGGTGGTGGGCAGCTGGGGGCAGCCCAGTTCATGTGGAGCAGTGGGGGCTGGGCTGGGCGCTTAGAGGCTCAGGTTCCTGTCCAAGGCCTTTGGCTGAGCCCCATAGGACCTGGTAGGGGTGTCCATGGTCTCTGTTGGACTTCAGTGTCCTGTGGGAAGACGGTCTGCCAACTCTGCCCCCTGGGCGCCACTCTGGTCAGAGGTGCACAGGCTGGACATAACTCCGTGGGAAGAAGCCTGTGTGCCCGCAGAACCGGCCTCGCCACCAGTGGGGGTCCAGGTGCTCCAGGACCTCGATGATGTCACCGCGGCGGAAGCTGAGCTGTGAGGAGTCCTGCGCCGAGAAGTCGAACTGCGCCTGGGCAAAGCAGGCCCGGGCTGACTGTGGAGGGAGGGAATCATCAGTGGGGCCCCCCAGGAGGCCCCGACAGAGGTTTGTCTCGTCTTGGAAAGGGCAGGGTGTTTGGAGCAGAACTGAGGTTGAATGTGCTTGTGCTTCCAAGGCCAGGGGATGGCCACCACCCGTGGGCCTCCTGCTGCCACCCGCGGTCTACAGGGAATGATACAACTGTCCTGGTGGCTTGGCTGGGCCCTAAGTCCTGAGCTTCAGTGAGGGGCTGTGGTCAAGTCCCTCAGTTTCCCCACCTGCGAAGGGGACTGGGACAAGAGGTCTCTGCAGGCACGCCAACCTGACGCCGTGGCAATTGTGCCCAGCACCCAGGAGCTGCCTTCCCCATCAGGATCTCTGCTCTGAGCCTTCAGAATCTTACCAGGACAGCTGATAGGATCAGTGGGCAGGCTGTAATTACTGGTTCTCTGCCCAGGAAGGAGGAGGCGGTATGGGCCCCAAGATACTGAGCCAGCTCTGGAGTCTCCCCAGAGGGTGGGTGATCTCAGGCTGGGCTGGAGTGAGGTGGCAGGTGTGGGGGAGCCCTCAGGCAGCCCCCAGTTCCATCCTGGCTCCTTCACACTCTTCAGGGTCAGAGCTTAGCCGGGCAGTGAGGGGGAGGGGAGGGAGGTCTGGGATACGGAGGCCCAGAGGAGAGCTCACAGCAGGCCTGGCCCCCAGGGTCCGGCCCAGGGGGCTGAGCCCCCTGCTGGGCCAGAGGGTACACCAGTGGGGGTCTCCCAAAGCACTGTGTGACTTGCTGGAATATTGGACCCCAGAGCTCATCCTATCAGAGAAGAAACTGAGGTCCCGTTGACGGATGAACTGGCACAAGGTCACATGTGGGGAGGTGGCTGGGGTCTAGCAGCAGGGCAGTATGGGAGGCTCTGCATCCGTCTGTCAGCAGCTCCTTGGGCCATAGCCGTGGTCCCCATACCCTCTGCACAGCCAAGGGCCAGTTGGCGCTGACCTCCAGCCCCAGGCCGGGCCAACACCCCCTCCAAAGGAAAATAGCACACTGGGGCTAATAACCCCATTAGCTGCTGTCGTCACCCTAATGAGAGCTGGTCCAGGGCCCTGATGAAAGAGCTGGCTGGCAAATTGCTGCTGCTGTGAGGACAAGGGTGGCCACCCCTCACACACGCACACACACACACACACACCCTGTGTCTGGCCAGGGCCTCACCCTTACCGCCCCATGCCCCACCCACGGCTGGCACCCTGGGAGCAGACAGCAGGACTGGGCCTGCCTGGTTGGCAGTCTTAGGTGGGTCACATTGCATCCAAGCCTCGGTTTCCTCACCTGTACCACGGGACAGTAAGGCTCCCCGTGCACACAGTTCAGCACATGTCCCTCAGCAGGCTCAGTGGGTGTCAGTACCTTCCTTCAACATTTACTGAGCACCTACTGTGTGCCATGCACTACCCAGCCACAGTTTGTTCCATGGGATTTTCATACTGTTCCTTCCTCTTCTTCCCCTCTTCTCCCCACCCTTGCTTCACAGCTGTGCCAACAGAACAGAATTGTACAGCCCGGGCCGGACCCTCCTCCCACGACCTGGGCTGCTGGGGGAAGGGAGGCCAGCCTGTGTCAGCCCCACCAGGCATCCTCGCCCTGGGATGGCCCAATGGCGGTGACGGGAGGCACCCACCGCCCTGTCCCTGCCCGCCTACCTTGAGCGGGGGCTCTTCATCTCGCAGGAAGACCTGCCGCTTCTTGGCGATGGTGGTGGTGTGGTAGAAGTCGACCAGCTCGTTGAGGGAGTTGAACTTCTCCTCCCACAGGAAGTATTTCCCAGAGGCCTCTCGCAGCACCTTGAAGTGCTGGACCTGGTCCCCGTAGCTGGGGGAAAGGACCCACAGTTACCTCAGATGGCCCCCAGCAGCCAGGGACCACTCCCTGCCCAGCCTGGCCCTGGGCCTTCCCTGCTAACCAGTGTCTGGAGCCAGGCCTTTCTCTGTCCTGGTGAGACCTGGTGAGTGAGGAGGAGGTGCCGGGAGTGGGGATAGTCCCAGGCCCCCGACCTGGCTCGGGGTGAGACCTGGTGAGCACCCCCTGGCCGTGCATACAGAGTTAAGGGTTCAGACCCTGGACCAGGCCTCTTTCTTGCTGTGTGACTTCAGGCAAATCACTCGATTTCTCTGAACCTCAGTTTCCTCATAATAACACCCCTCTCTGGGAAAGTGTTCGGAAAGTGCTGAGCATTGTTTATCAGCAGCATTAAGTGGGTTTCTCTGAGAGAGGTGACCAGACAGCATCCCCAGCTTCCCTCTCAGCCTGCACACTCTTCTCCCTCTCCTCTCCCTGCCCAGCCCTTGCAGTCCCTTGAGGAGTGAATCCCAAGACCACCTGACTCAGTGTGAGAGGAGCTTAGCCATGTCGAAGGCCTCATGTCCTTCCTACCCACAACCACCTCAAGAACCTTCTATGGCTCCCCATTACCCTTGGCATAAAATCTTAACACCTCAGACTCAAGATCTGGCTCTGATTACACCTCCAGCCTCATTGCTTTAGTGCATGCTCTGATGTAACCCACGAGTCCCTTTCTCATCTCCCAGCCTTTGCCTGGCCTTCTGACCCATGAGCACTAAAATCCTGGCGAGCACCTTCTAGCTCAGCTGAGGGGACAGCCTGCCTCTCCCAAACTGGCCAGAGGGGTGGGACCTGCTCTGGCTTGGCCTGGGCAGAAGGACCTGCCCGGTGCTTTCCCACACAAGGCAGGTCCCACGCCAGGGCAGGCCCTGCAGCCAGAGGCCGGAGGCGGTACTGGTATGTGTCCGGACCATGGGTCACACAGCCACAGAGGCCCCTCCCTGCCACAGGGGTGGCCAGGCCCACTGCTCGGGGTGGGGTGGAGCAGACATGAGCACATCAGGCCCCTTTGACAGTGGGGAAACCAAGGCCCTGAGCGCAGCCAGACCCTGCCCAGAGCCACGCAGCAGCAAAGGCCACCTCTGAGCTCCTGCATGTTAAGTGTCACTCTCAAGCGCTCCCCGACTGGTGGTCACTGTATAAGAATAGCCATCAACACTGATACAAGTTGGGATACCTATCGTGTCCCAGATCTTGGCGTCCCCAGTCCACTTCCACTCCTCCATGTTGTTCCCTGGGCTGGGATTCCCAAGCCCCACCCCCCACCCCTTTCTTGTCTGCTCTGCCTGGCCACAGTGGAGGCACCCTTCCCAGCGCTGCAGCCAGCCAGGCCAGGGTCTGCACCTGCTCAATGGGGGTGGGCGCTGATGTGCCCCGCAGAGAGATGAGGAAGGCCTGGGGCCAGGAGCCCCCCTGGCCAGGCTGGCGGCCACAGGGGAACACAGAACAGTCCTAGTACCCACCGGAAGAAGCCAGTTAACGGACCTGCCCACAGGAGGATGTCCTGACCAGTCGGCCGGTGGGGCTGACTGTGGGGAAAGGGTACAGTCAGGTGTGTGCACTGGGGACAGGCGAGGGCTCCTCAGAAGGAAGTGGCCTCTTGGCCTCCTGGGCCATAAGCTGTGTTCGTTTTAATTGGGGCTAAATGAGAACTCAACACCAGTCTGGAAACTTGACAGTAAAAAGAAAAAAACACTTCTGGGGTT